AGCCACTTAGGCTAAAATCGGTCCTGCTTTTGCCACCGCCTTTCCTCAGCAAGATGGCACAAGTGGCACTTCTGCTGCCAGCTGAAAACATCTTTCTCTGTAATGGTTTGCTTCCGTCCCCTCACCCCATGCAGCTGCTAGCTGTTTCCCGTTCCTTCAATCTTTTGCTCTGGTTTTCTGGGACAGAGGCAGGCTGCAGCTGACAGGACACTGCAGCCCAGGGGACAATTAGGGAAGCGTGGGAGAGACAGCTGGACCTGTTGCTAACACACGCGCGCACACACACACACACACACACTAAAGTGTCTTGTGGGTTTGCTGCATTCACATTTAAATTAACTTTCAGGAATGGCAAAATAAAAACAGTTGCTTTTATTTATTATATCATCATAGGAAAAAGTTGCACAATAGTGAGTAAAAGTGATTTTAGAGGAATAAATTGTGGCATTGGTTTATACATACATAAGAGGTAAACAAATGTAACAGCAAAAAAAAAAAAAAAAAAAGTGACATTGAAAAGAGACTGCCGAATTCATGACGTTGCCAAACTGCACTGGAAACTATGAGATGATGAAACGAACTGCATGCTTCATCTGTGACAACTACACTGATGTACATCTAAGAGTGGGTAAGAGCTCAACCTCACCACTGTCAGTCTATCATAAGTAAGAAATCTTTCCCAGCAGCATGTTCTGCAGCTGTCTGATCCTGCTTTCCTGTGGCAGCGCCAGGCTCTTCTCCACTCGCGCCTCCTCTTCCAGCAGCTGCTCGATGTAGCAGGAGGAGCCCAGCAGGATGTGGCCTGTGGCCTGCATGGAGAAGATGGTCCATCGCAGAGCCTCCCTGGAATCACATGCATGAGAACAAGAGGGAGGATGGTCATAAATAGCCAGTTCCCATTTACAGCGACATGAGTGGAAACCAATAGGCCCACACAAACAGCCTGCATGTAACGAGATACGAGTATCAGTCTGGTATAATTCAGACAAGTCACAACACAAGGAAGCCAGATAGTCTTGATAGTCACGACCTCAGATGCTCAATTTTGACATCAACTGCATTTCATAAAACTGATATCCACGACCTTTTAAACCACACATCCTGCAATAGGAGCATCGCATTTGACAAGTCTGCAAAATGTAATCCTCTCAACTGAAGCTCCGAGCCAAAGCTGAAAACCAGCAGGTCTCGGCAGCGATGACATAACAAAATTAATCTCAGTAAAATCTAGCCTTTGGTCTTCTAGGGTCTGCGCATTTCACCACCCACACAGGTGTACACGCTCAAACCCGAGTGCATCATTTATACACAAGGGTCTGCTTTTAATACTTTTATAAGAGAAGCACGGGAGGGAAAAAAATACTAAAAAGTCTCAAAAGATAATCGTGCTAATTTATGCATTAGAAATTCATTCACACTGATCAGTTTTCAGCTCTAAGTGGATTAAGCTATTACTACAAACAATATGTTTCAGTAAAGATGCCACAGAGATGCTCTGAAAAAACAATCAGTTACATAATAGTTCAACACAAAATACAAAAATATCAGAATATTTTGGCAGCCTCCATCACTCACTTTAGCATCTTTTTGGCAGCGTAACAGCGCAGGTCATAGGACACAGTATAAACACCATACAGCGTTGCCTTCACATTCAGGCAGCCAATGAAATCTTTGGGGTTGTTCTTGTAGAGGTCAAAGGTCAGCTTGGCCACATCTCTCCGCTGCTGTTGCTGCCTGCAGTCAATAAGGCAATCTCTGGAGAGGTTGTACTGGGGGGGGCGACAGGATGAGGGATATGAGTCAGGACAAATGGGCACAAATCAGCGCTCAACTCCACCGCCACACACTTGAACTACACACTGATGGCGCTCCTGCCAGCGATGATGTGAGTAGCAAATGACAATGAGAAAAGGTCAATGAGGGGTCGTTGCAGAAAACATTTGGGAAGGGGTCCAAATTAATGCATGTATCACTTACTGAGAAAGTTAATTGCTTTTGGGTGAATGTTACTGCAATCTCACAAATCCCTCATGTCCAATTAGTATCAGACCCCTGCCTTCCATTTTTCTCAAAAATATTGAGCGGGGAGAAACTAATGTGAGGTTCACTCCGCGTTCTGCCTTTGCACAACAAATGGCATGTTGCCCTTCCATTTAATTTGATGGATAAAATATTTAACTGGATAGCCAATGTATCACAACACAGACTGGTCCATATTCATGGCTTCTGCATTATGCCTTTCTATCAGTCTACATCAAAGAATCACTGGCTATCAATATGTTAATATTTGCACGGCCACAATGAAGTAAAGTTGCTGGCCAAGAGTGCCATCTAGTGGCTAATCAAAACTACATACAGGATGTGGGCTCCACTTCTGTCCCTTCTGCAGAGCCATCAGAACAGCATTTTCTGGGAGCGTTTGAAAGAATTCCTCTGTGTCCACACCAGTGCCATCTTCATCCAACACCAACGCACTGACGCACAGTATACCCAACGAGTCACTGGCCTGAGCGAGAGTAGAGATGAGGAAAAAATAAAATAAATACGTACAGTGACCTCATCACAAGAAAATATGCCGTAAACCATAAAGCAGTTATTACACAGCTGTTCTGAAACATTTATTTTGGGAGTGGTCTCTTCTGTGATGACTCCATTGTTAAGGCAACAGCCAGACTGCTTGATGAGTAATGAAAACGCTATGAATCACATATGATAACCTTCAACACCCATCGGACCCTTTACACCATTCTGTCAGACGGCACTCTCCACAGCCATCATTAAGAAGCTGATTCAGGGAGCCTGTTTTTCATCCCTTTACCAAAAGTTACAAGGAGCACTGAATTAATGCCAAGGCATACTGAAGCCATTCAGATCTTGCTAAGACACTTTAGGCTTGATTAAATTTGGCTTCTTTATAAATTAACATTATTATAGTCTGACACCAGCCCTTTTTCTTGTTACATTTCACTTACATGAGCTCGAAACACACTCAATCACTTCAGATGGTGCAGCAACAAGTGGCAAACCTTTATCTAATTTCAATGGTCAATACACACCACAGAATCCCCCTGATTCCTCCGTTTTTAGTCCAAATGCTTTGTGACCACCTTACCATGATTATTAGCTGCTGACCAAGTCCCCCCCCGACACACACAGCATTTTTACACCTCACATCTTTCTCTCACCTTATTTGTCAGGTCTTCTAGCGTGTCTGCCATTATACCCTTTTTCACACTGCGGTCAGCATTCGTGACCCTGAAAGGCTTCGGTCGAGGAACTCGACCCGACAGGAGCTGCTGGGTCATGGAGGCACTAGCTGACACGCTCGCTGTTACACACCTGAGAAAAAGGTGTAAGACGTCAGGTCATCAGCTCATATATTTAAAAGAAAAAAAAATTTTAAATAGCAAAAGAGCTAAGGGTGACAACCATCACAAAGCACTTACTTGGAGAGGTTAGATGGCGTGAAAAGGCTGAGTGACCTCATCGCATAATCCATATGAGAACAACTCGACCTGCAATTATAAGTATGATCAGTGTGGCAGCTAGGCTTCATGTGAAAAATGAGGAGACAGAAGGATACAGTGGCAGCTTTGCAGTTTAAAACTGAAAATACCAGTAATAAAATTAGGAAAACGATTTCAGCAAATTCTGGAACTGGAGGCCACTTTTGGCAGTCAGTCTTACTCATTTATAAATATAACTTGTAAGATAAACATTCCTTCAATTTCATGATTATGTCCCAATAAAAAGAAAAGAAACAATCAAGAATAATAACTCTTACAGTTTAGGAAACTCAAGACTTCTCCCAACCCTGTCTGAATATAATCCTTATGTTGATCGTTTTTGTTCCCGAAGCGCTGCTCCCAGCAGTGTGGACCACAAAAGCCTCTGAGATAAAGTACACGCTCCTCTCTTGTTGCTGTTTCTTGCAACACTTGGTCACTGAACTTTGTGCTGATGACTGTTGATCTGGTTGCAACTCGTCAGCTTTATTGAGAAATCCTGCATAAACACTCCCACTGGCCCTGGATTTTAATTTGTTATAATAACCCAGTATCTTAAAGAAAGTTCAGCTAAAATTAAAAATACACAGCTGCATGAAGAATCAGGCAGTGTGTTCAGCAGAGCAGCACTAACCTAATTCTAACTAACTCCACTGCTTAGTGGCTTCAAAACTGAATTGAATCTGTGAGGCTCCAAAGCGGTTGAGGTGATCTGAGGACAGATGTTATTTAGGGGAATGTACGCTTTAATTACAGCATTATTGTATAATGCTGGAGGACATGAGAACATGTACTTTTCACAAATTAGGTCATAGTTCATTGCTAGCACATCACACTGGAGGATTGGCTCACGCTGACGAGGTGTGTGCGCACTGTCAGGTGTTATCACACTGGGCTACACGTCATTGTCTGACATCACCTGTGAGCGCCGAAGGAAAATCCTAAAAGTCAAGAAGTTACTGTAGGAAAAAGCAGCAGATACATTTCTGTATACTCGTTTATCTCTCAATCCAGCTAAAACGGATGTTTAGACAAATGAAAGCCGCTAACAATTTAAAATACATGAATTAAAGGACACTGGAGTTCACCTATTAAACATGGGGGATTTAGCCATTTCTAAACTAGGCTTTCTCGCCCGTGAACAAAGTGTACACCGTCACAAACAAAGACAATGGCTCCACAAAAACAAGAAAAATAAAGAAAATGCTCGTTAAAGTTCACGGTTTATATTAAATCTGTTCGTGGTAATTAAAACAAATCATAGCGAAGCAAAATCCTTAGATGAACCCTTACGTTTGTAGTGTTCCTCCCGTGAAGCGCCTTCCCGCTAGCTTGCTGAACCGCTAATTAATAACACCTGCTAACGGCTGTAATTGAAGCCTGCGCCATTTTGAATGTACCTGTCTTTATTTTAGGGTTAGAGTCGTTCTTTTTTTTTAAACAACATGCTATCCAGTGGGCATACTCATTACTTGTGAAAACACCTATTCATCCAAAATGTTAAAATTGCACCTCAAAGGATAGTGGATGAAGATTTCAATTAATTACGGAAGTAAAAAAGAAAGCAAAGGACATCTTGTGGATGAGCAAGGAACTGCAGGTAGGAACTTTCTGCTGTTACATATGTAACTTTACTGGGCAATTTATACATAATCTATTTTATTACAAAACATTTAAATATACAGAAATCTTTAATCTTCAAATGTGACCACCACATACAGACCACATCATGATAAGATGATGAGAGCATCTGCATGCTGGTGCATCTGTACAGTAATGACTGAACAGTGAAGCTCACTTTCGTTGATTTCTCTAGTGCATTTTGAATGAATCGGCTGCTGCTGTGAGAAAAGCTACAGGAAATGTCAGTAAACTTCGACCATCTCATGGATTGCTGACTATCTCACAAAGAGGGTGCAGTATGCTGAACAGAGCTCTGTGTGATTTGGTTGATGTGCAGTACAGTAGCTCCACAGGAATCTGTGCTCTCTCCATTCCCGTTCTCCTGGTACACCTCAGACTTCCCTTATACCTCCTGGTCATGCTACCTACAGTAATACTCTGATGATTCTGCGGTGGTTGGATGTATTAGTGATGGAGAGGAGGACTAAACTGTTTGTGGGGTGGTCTGTGAGGAATCATCTGTAAAGCAGTGACACCACCTGGATGGTGATGGACTTCAGAAGGAAGAGGTTGGCTGAACAATCCATTCCCCTCTCTGTTTATCGTTTACGGGACAGGATCTGGATATGGTGGAGGAGTACAACTGGAAGACCAGCACAGGCTCTGCTTCCTGCAAAAGCTGAGCTCCTTCAATGTGCAACAGAGTGATGGAGGTTTTCTATCACTCAGCATCCTTTGCTGTGGTCTGCTCAGGGAGCAGCATCAAAGCTGGTGACACCAACAGTCTGAATAAACTGATTAGGAAGGCTGGCCCTCTGACTGGCTGCAAACTGGACACTTTTATAGCTGTGATGAAGACGAGGCATCTGAAAAACCATCATCCATCATGGATAATCCTGAGAAACCTCTGCATGACTTACTGGACAGGCAGCAGAGCTCCTTCTCTAACAGACTGATTCAGCTCTGCTGTCACAAAGAAACACACGGGAAATCTTTCATACCGCACATTATCATCCTCCATAACACAATATATCTGTCTGACAAAGAACCATCTGCCAGATTTTTTTCAACAGGTTATTTGGTAAATTCAAAAGAATTTCCCAAATATGCCTCCTCTCACAAGCCTCCTCTCCATCACAACTATAAAAGTGTCCAATTCAAAAGATATGGGATAAACAAAGCATTTCTCATCTCATCATCAGTGGAATAGTGAAAATTTGGAATACTCAAAAAATGCTCAGACAGGCAAACGCTGTAGGCTTTGTTAGGAGGGAAAATGGTTACTTACTGACTGAAATGTTCAGTCCGAGTGTATTTCCTGTACTCTTAGCAGCTGTCTCGGCCAATGCGTGCAACAACTTGGAAGCCAAACTGAAAGGGACAAATAAAGACTGCGGTGTCACAGATGAGAGCACTCATTACATAAATCAGAGTACACTCCAGTTGCGGTTTATGGTGATAACTGCCTTGTGATGATGATGATGATGTGAGTTGTATTTATTTGAACTTCATAATAAGTTCATATTTTAAGTATGCTTCACCAGACAGATACGTCAGACTATAGAGCTGTGTCATGGGAAACAAAGCTCCAGCTTAAACACAGAGTAGAATTACTGTTTAAAAGCAGAAACACTTGTTTTATTTGTGGTTTACCGCCCGTGGTAACTGCTACAAGAGATGCTTTTAGGCTAAAGGTTTGAAAAAAACAGAGATAATACTGTTATAATATTCTCATGGCAGTGTAAACAACCCCAAGCTAATTAATGCCAGCTAAGGCAACAATCTAATACTATTGTGTAAATAACCGTCAGAGCATTTATCTTAATTCCAGATAGTTTGTCTGCTGCTCAGCAGGGTATTAGTGGCTTCTTTACTTATATTTATTGTATTATAATCACAGTAATTGAAGTGATTTGTTTCATTTAGTTTCTGTTATATCCGCACGTTTTGAGGTCCAAAAGTGTGAAGATGATATTTAAATCAAGCCAAAGTCATGGTCAGCATAAAACAGAGAAGAAGAAAAAAGCCTCACAGTGTAAATCAGATGAGCAGTTTATTTCACTCTGTTGCTTCACATTTCTTGCTCGGTGTAAGAGCACAGATTAATTATGCCATAGATGTTAGTCTACTCCAGAGCAGATAGGGCTTCAGACTAAGAATAGCTGTGACTTGTTTGCCAAATGTATCAGTAGTGAACAAAGGTTTTTAGAAAGGGTCTCTTCTTCTTTTCAGAGGTCAATATCCTGCGCGTGTCTTTGTCCTGTTATCACCCATCGGCGCCTGCTGTGGGTGACGCAGGCTCATTTGGCTGAGACCCATTCATTTGTGCTTTATGGGCTGCTGATGCTTGTAATTATGGCAAGCGTGCCTGATATCAGTGCAGAAATGAATTAGACTTGAGAAAAAATGGATTATGATATTGGATTTAATTGTATGTTTTCTACGGATTGCATGCAAATACAATAAAACACTTCTCCGAGTCACAGTTTGGGAGCCAATGGTGAGTATCTGAGACTAAACACCAGCATCATCTTACATTGTTTGCAGTGTCCTTGTTGTGATTGTTGTTGTTGGTTTTTTGTTTTGTTTTTTCACATCACTGTAGTGATTAATCAGTCCATGGTGTGGTTTGTGTGTGGAATGGATTAAATATAAGTATAAAAGTAAAGCAGATCTAAGCTCTAAAGGACAGATACTGACCGCAATGACTACTTTCACATGAACTAACATTGTTTCTAACCAGGTGTCAGTGCCACAATGTGTTAGCTCTGTTGTGAAGTGAGATTTCCTCCATCAAGCCTTCAAACTTCTCCGGGGGGGCTTTCATTTCCTCTTGCCTATTCGTGCCATCAGCTCTGCATTGGCTGCTGCCTTGGTCCTCATGTCCTGATTCTTGGCCAGGTCTATGAGTACACTGAGGATGCTGGTGGGAACATCAAGGGACAGAGCAAAACGGGACGCCTGCTGGGCTCTCTTTGGCACCTGGGAGGCAGGGCGCGGGGCTCGCCTGAGCACGAGATGATGCTGTGATCGGAGCAGTGAGCTCAACGCACCGTTGCGGTTTAAGATGTCGACAGCCAGCATGTCCCTCTCTGTGTCTTCATTGAGTTTGGCAACAGCCAGACTGCTCCTCCGGCTCTGAACACACAAAGGAAGCAGCAGAGCCAAACAGAAGCACGCACGCACACTTCTCATGGTCAGGACTGTCTGCAAGCAGAGAATCAGCTCCATATTACACAACTGTGACAGTGCAAGACTTCAGTGAGTGATCGCATGGAAAGACAACAACATATCCAACTGATGTACAAAAATAAAAATAGCTTTTTATTTCTTCAGCAATAAAAAGATGATGAAACACAAAATTCTTTAATACAGTTCTTTGCAAATCATTTTAGATCATCTGAATATTTAGTTTCTTAACCTTTCAATCATCCATACATTTGATCCTCCTGTTATAGTCTGCAGTATTCTCTGATTCATGCATAGATAAATCTTTGCAAACCTCGTCAAGAGCCAGCCAAAATCAATACTTACTCAGTCACCAATATCAAAAGTTGGTAACTTGACAAAAAGGCACTTCTCCCTCCTCTGTGTTAAAGACAGCAGCTCTTTTTATGCTCAGATGTCCTGTAATCTTGTATTTTCTGTCTCACAGCTTCTGCTTCTTCACCGGAGGAGCAATGTGCACCAAACACGGTCGGATGTTGAACTGGACTTGACGATGAGCCGCTCGTCCTTTGCTTCGTCTTCAACCACTTTAATCCTCGCCGTGACACTGCCCCTTCCCCTCTCTGTTTATCGTTTACATCTCTACACCCCATCGCCCTCCCCTCATTTCATCTCATTTCCTTTGCACTCAGTGCTATCTTATTCTTTCTAAAAATAACACAATAGTAATCACAATAGCTTGCTTGGAGTGACTTGAAAAGTTGCCCCAATTTGGAGTCAAAGCACAGCCCACCTCCACGTCCATTCAGAAGTTAAGCATGGAGACGCTGCGAGAAAACAGTAATTGTTGGGTGTTGAAATGTCCCATAAATTGTTCATCTTTTCATCATGCTTGTTAGTTTATGTTTTGGAAATCATCCGTGCAGACTGAGTGAACATCAAACATGACAGTGATAAGAACACTGTGGGAGACATGCCCATTTTGGTCTAATTTAACTGAATGTATTTAAGGAGTTTGAAACATTAAGGTGGTTGGGAGCTGGTTTAGATTTACTGACAACAGTGTGAGTGAGTCTGTTCTGTAACATGCATTAGCTGGAAATCACAGCAACTAAATAAGACATGAGGTGAGTGAGGTGAATTTTTTTTTGTGTGTCTTTGTTAATACCAATTAACAACACAGAATAAAAGTTTTTCACTGGCTGCCAGTTTTGAAACTTGTTCTTTGACTAATGTCAGTCTTTTCGATCTGACCCTCTGCATGACAGCCCCTCCTTGACGTGTTTTTACGCCTATGCCCCAGGAAAAAAAACATTGACTCTTAGAGGAACATGCTGTGAGAACACATCTTTCTTCCTTTCTACAGAGCACAGAGGAGAAGAGGTGAGTATAAAGAGGTTAGAAGGAGAAGTGACTGCAGATAAAGCCCCGTGGAGAAGAACAAGGAGGAAAAGTCTTACAGGGCCAGGAGGGCAACTCAACAAGACGAAGCCTATCTCATTTCCTGAGTCACCTCCATTCGGGCCCATCAAAGAACTTACTCTCATCCGACTAATGATATATTACGAGTGCAGCCAGATTACGATTGCTGGGTCCTTGAGGGCCTCAGGCTTACGAGCCGTTTCAGTTACCCACAGGTCACAGTAATGTCACACAGCAACAAACAGATGTACTGAGTTGTACCAGCAGCATTATTCAACATGACACGGAGCAGCACATGAACCTCAGACGATGTCATCTGTGTGATTCAAGATAAAACATACGTCATAGCAGGTCCTACTTGCCCATTCAACTGACTAATGACGTAGGCTGTTTACAATGAGCCTGATGCGTATCAGAGAGCACTTTATTCTCCGACTGTTCGCCCCGCTTAATATTCATGAAATGTTTAAGTTCTAAAGACGTTGTTAATAAAACGCAGCAATTGGCAGCAGTAAGGACAGGCTATTAGAAGACAATTGCAAATACTTATTCACTGTGGCAAAACTGAAGTAGGCAAACTGCGCTTTGGCCACAGCCACAATTTAAACGTCAAGACGAAGATCACAGATTAACCCAACATATCATCTGAAGTCTGAGCACAGATAATACAAATGGCACGTCTGGTTTAGGACAACAACATGAATGATAATGTGTTCATTAATGTATACAATTTTTTCAGAAAAGTAAAAAGTGCGATGTTTACAACACTACAAAAACTGTGACAATTTAAGTTCCAGCAAAAACTTTAGATTTAAAAGTGAAGGTAGTCTAGTAACCACATCATCAGTGCTTTAAAAGTCCAAGAACCTCCAGACAGAAATATTAGCCCCCACACAGCTCTTCCAAACAAACTAGTTTTATTTTGAATGCTTACATTATTTTACTTTACAAAATCTGCCAGGGGCAAAATTATTGGGCCACCCAATGCTAATTGATAATTGTGAATCCTTTTTGATGGATTAAAGCTTGCAGTCATTTGTTGTGAATTTCAACAAGTCTCAAACATGCCTCCTGAGTAATCTCAGCTCATTCTTCTTTAGCCAATCTGTCAAGCTGCTCTAGATTTGATGGTCTTCTCGGACTTTGCTCTTCTGTTCACCTCACAGATTTTCAATGGGATTCAAATGAGGTCAGTCAATAACTTTCACTTTGGTCTTCTTCAGGAGCATGTTTTGGGTCGTTATTGTGTTGGAAAACAAAGCACTGACCAGACTAGTTTTGTTGCTTACAGCTTGATATTTTCTTCAAAATCTTCACATATTCTTCTTTCTCCACATCCACAGCATAATACTCCCAACTCCTGTGTTTCACTGTGGGGACGGTGTTCTTTGGGTTGTAGCCGCTCCTTTTTTCTCCAAACATGAGCAGCATCTTTATGGTCAAAAAGCTGTAGCTTCATCTCATCTGTTCTTGTCCTTAGTATGCTTCAGTCTGACTTCAAGGTGTCTCTTCTGCACGAAGTTTTCTCTTGCTAACCTCACAATCCATTCCTGTGCAGTCCTAGTCTTGTTCTGTGGCGCACTCTTTGTTTTTATACTGTGTGTAAATTGGAAGATAACCCTCAGCTTTAACCTGATTTTATAAGTTTCAAGTATCGCAAAGTTAAAGTGCATCATTGCACAGCAGTGGTTTGTGCTTTGGCTCAATTAAAGTTTTTCCTTCTGCTGAAAAATCTTATGCGGAAACACAATTGATGCTTTCTAAAGGAAACTACTGTGTTTAGAAATGTTATGTTGAAAAGCCCTTGCTGTGTTTAAAAAGTACTTTTTCCTTAGTGGTCTGATATTACAAACCTATGTTTTAAAAACATTGTGAGGTGTGAATGCGACTCACAGTAAGACCAGGTTAGCTCTTTGCTTATATTGTGCACACGCGTACTGTTTACATTCATATTCAACATTTCTGTATTTACATAATTTAATCATTAAGAAATCCTTTTGTATGACTAACAAAGGGACACAAGACAAATATTTTACAGTTTTTTTTTTAATTTTTGTTGGAATGAGAGCTTCTGTTATGTACAATAGTGGACAGAAACAAATGTTACAGAAATTATAAATATACTCTTGCTCCATCTGGTGATATTCAGTACTGACCATATTATGTCACACTGATAATTATTCAATGTTCAAGTCAGCCCTCTGTTCCCTTTATAAATCAGTATAAGGTGAGCAGTACCTGTGCAGTACAATCAATATGTAACCAGAACGCAATTTAAAGACAAAATATGCAGATTGGCTGCCCCCTGATGGCTACTGTTAATGAGCTGGTTGGACAAAAACGGGAAGCAGAGGTTGGATGGCTGCCTTTGCTGACACACCAACATGTGGAGAATCCACTGTTTACTCTCGCAGAGATAAGGGGAGGAAGGTGAAGTAAGGGTGAGGAAGAAGAGACACATAACTAATCATCTTAGAACCTCAGCCAGTACATGGCACTGCGCATTCTGTTGTAGTCCGGTAACTGCTCAATGGGGCCTGGTGGAGAGAAGGAGGGACAGGTTACAGAAAATAGTTGCAGCATGAGCTGCATCCTTGCTGTGAAGAGACTAAAAGTACAGCAGAACTCACCGACAGCAGCCACAGCAGGACACTTATCGTAAATGTATTTGCAGCAGATGTCACGCACCATCTTGGGGGTCACAGCCTGAAAGGAAAGATTTAGAGTTAAAACGCTCATCCGGGAGAGACTACAGGACTAAGCCAAATCTGAGAAGGTACTGTATGATGCTGTGAAGACACAGAACATCGTGATCTTTTTGTCCTTTAGAGTAAACTTACATCAATCCGAGCATCCCACTCTGCTATAGGAATACGCCGGCCGTAGTTCAAAATGTGTCTGCCAATGTCATCACAGATTGGTGTTGTTCCTAGAAGGTAAACAGGAGTGTCAACTTATAATTCATGAGAGTGGTGTGTCCGAGTTCATAAAAAGAGAACGTTTTCATTCTTTTTTTCTGTGATTAAAACATACTGTACTGTGTGAGACTTTCAGGGATGCAGTGCACACAGTATCATCAGGTAGTGTCATTGCTCTCAAATTCATTCTGCTGCACATGTTCAGCTCAAAAACGTTTTAGGACTTTACTTTTTTGAAAGGAGCTTATGAAAAAGATCTAAAAATTCCAGGTTTTCAACGGTGTGCAAAAACTATATGCACATGTATAATCCATTACAGATATTACGTACCATTGAGCTGTCCAACCAGGCTAGCCTTCAGAGCATTCCTGCCTCTGGCGACATCACTCTCTGTCACTGTGGTGCACAGATTCATCCTGCAGGGAGCAAAATATGAAGGAATTAAACCTTTAGCAACAAACCACAGACTCTAATGTTCCCGTTGCATCTCTCTGTCCGTGAACCATTACTGACCAGGCATTCTGGGACCAGTGCATCATGTCGTCGATGTTGTTCTTATCGGCCACAAAGTAAATGCCCAGCAGGCCAGTGTCGCTGTAAGAGGAGTGGAAGGCCTGGAAGCTGTGACAGAGGTTATCCTCCACCGCCAGGCGAGCCAGGCGGCTGCTCAGGTGCTGAAAAAGAGAAGAAAAAGGAATATGTTATTATATTTCTTCATAACTAAAGAAGAAACCAAGAGTCAAGTTTTTCCAGTTGAACTGATTCGTGTATTCAATAGCTGACACTCACAATATAATTACAGTATTACTAAAAAAAAGTACTCTTTTTTGTTTACATTTTAATCACTTTCTTGTCAGACATAACAAAGACTTGTTCATCTCAGCAAGATCCTCCTTTCTGAGTTTAAATCTCAAATCTGATATACTATACACTGTGGCAGCAACACTTTTACCTGAGAACAAATAAAGCTTAAAAGATAAAGAACCAGCATGATGATGTCATGTTTGTGGACATTTCAATACTACAGTTACACTTTCATCGTTGCCGTCTGTTCTACACTGTACATTTTAAAAAATAAATAACATTTCCAACCTTTCCACCACCGTAGGTAAGGTCATAGCTGCCGATGATGGCGTTGGCCACCATAAGAGGCACGATGTCTGGACTAGCAGCACTAGCACCCTCCACGGCGATGGCAATGTGTGCCAAGGGAAAAGCATCGTCACGCATACGGACCTGAGGAGAGGAAGAAGACCATTTACCATAATTTTGAATGTCCCCACGTCTCATTCTAAACAAGAACCAGGTTTTTGAAATCTTTATAAACACAAATACTGAAGAAAAAAAAAATGAAGATGCAGTTTTTATTTGTTTTTTTAATTAACACATCTCACCTCACTGCCAGTAAACCGGCAGGGTGATAACACAGGGACAGCATCTCCCTCGTACTCAAAAGACACTCCACTGAAGTGAGACTTGGCCAAACCAACCAGCTCGTCGTGGCTCACACCTGTAGAGGAAACACACCAGATAAGCATCAAGGCTTTCAAGGAAATGTAGAGCATTACAATGCACCATAATGCGTCCTAACAGCGTAAGAGGAAGAACACCTACCTCCAGCAGCAGCGAGCACCATGCGAGGAGCTTTATAGTGGCTGTTGATGTAATCCACTAAATCCTGGCGGGTCAGATTCCTGTGAGCATTGTATAAAAGATTAGTCATTTTTTTACATAAAGGTGTAAATTGTGTGATTTTTTTGCTGTGTTAGTTAAAGAATTATAACAACTATCATTAGAGCTGTGCCATATCATATTGTCTGCAATAATACCAGTATAAATTTATATGCAGTATAAAAATTATTGCGATAGCAAACAGGTGACAATTTATTAGCTCCAAAAAAAAGAAAGAAAAGAAAAAAAAAAGTACAATATAAGCATATTTCCCTCATTGCTGGATTTTTCAAAAATGGCAATTTTGATTTTCGTGAAGGTTTCGGGAATCATCGAGTGACACCACTGACTAGCAAGTCGGTGGCAAACAGTCTGATGTCACATTTTCAGCTCGCCTAAGATCACTTGGAACATCAGCCAAGTAGGTAGTAAAAATAGTACCTGGTATCAGGTAGTACCACCTAAATGGAAAACCCTAAAAACTAAGTCAAGCTATACTGAGCCAACTCGAATAGCCCGAGTAGTCTTTCCCCTGACAGCTGTTCTAAGACATAATAATAATAATCTAGAGATATTCATGAGCAGGCAGCTCCTCCCACCTGGCACTGCTGGAGGGGCCCAGCACACTGTGTCCCAGAGCAGTCCCCTGGAAGGCTGTGGCATGCAGCAGGTCCAGGCAAACTTCCTGCAGGTTGCTCTCAACTTCCTCCAACTCACGCAGGACCACGCTCCGCTGCTGCTCGATTTCAGCCTCGTTAAGGGAGCAGCTCTGCACGACTTCTGACAGCAGCTCAACAGCTGGAAAACACAGATGTTGTTCACAACTAAGAGGAGAAATGCACATACTAGGTGCTAAGAAACAATGAAAGTTGGAATTTCTTCCCTTCATAGTAGAGAACCAAGTATAAATGACTGATTTATTGTTATATTCTCATTAAATAGTTTATCTCACTGTGATGTCTTGGCGATCACTGTATTATTAAAACTAGAGAAGAATCTGTGTTTTTTTTTTTTTTTTGCCTCTCACCTTTAGGCAGGTCTTTGGTCAGGGTCTTCATATAGTATGCAGTGTGCTCCCGGGAGGTGTAGGCGCTCAAGTGAGCACCCATAGACTCCACCTGCTGCTCAAGGGCTGTTTGTGGGTGCTTCTTGGTTCCCTGCAAAGAAGACAAAACACATTTACTGAAGGGGGGGATGTAATTGCAACCTCTGTCATTTTGGATATATAAATTCTACTTTAACAAATAGCCCTGTAGGATAGCAAAGGTCATGAAGTTTACCTTGAAAGCCATGTGCTCCAGGAAAAAGCCTGCTCCATTATTCTTCTCACTCTCGTAGCGACTGCCTGCACCGATCCACAGTCCAACCTGTGACAAAGAAGAGATGGCATGTGCTGAATAAATATGCTGAGGTTTACATGAGTAAAAGTGTCTATTGTGTGCTTAAACAACTCCAACTTATAGCATTATTTATGACGTGTTCTTACAGTGCATGTAGCATGTCCAGTCTCCTCAGACGCAACCCTCAAACCATTGTCCAGTGTAGTAAGACGGGTTTCAGGGGCTCCTGACAGACTCTGGGCATAGCTTACTGAGGCCTGTCCACGCCTCAAGGACAGCAGGATGGGCTGGAGAAGTTACAGATGCAAAACATTAAAACAATAAATTTTAAAATAGGACTCTGGAGAACCACTTTTATATTTTATTATACTACATAACATCCCAATATAAGAACATTTGGTGTACCATCCCAATGATCTATCTGCAAGTTCAAAAGGACTCTCCTGCTAGCGGTGGCTTTTAATTAAAATGATCCATTTTGTTCTGTGTTTACAACTGATTACCTGGGAGGAAAGCATGTTTTTTCTGACTTTGTATGCGCTAATAGGTAATAAATATCAGTTCATTAGCACAATCTTTATCACCTGCAGAATGAGTGATCAAAAAAAGAAAGGCTAACCCCAAATCCCTCTAGAGCAGTGTCTTTTTAAGACGGTACAGCTGTAATGACATGTCAGGGGCTGTCACTAGTAAACAGAACTGTACTGTTATTACAAAATCTGGTAAAATCTTGAATTTATGCTACAAGTATAATCCAACCTGGGTGTTATTACGACGTTTTCATGTTATTTTCGAGTTGACGTATTCGTTCTTATCCGGCTCTTCAGCCGCATCAACAACAGTAGTCATGTGTCTTTCCAAAGTCGCTACACTATCGGTGCTAGCCTCACTTGTCTTTGAGGGCAAGTGAGGACAAATAGCAAATGTTACCTCGTCAATGACCAAATTTAAGTAAAACGACAATAAGACTGCTTGAAAGATCTTTAATGAAGTGGACAAAGTGCTTTAGGTAGCTGTTACAATATGTATTGATTCATAAGCCGATTGACCTTGCATTCAGTGATAGCTAACTAATGCTAACCGGTTACAGACTCTCCATAGCTGTACAGCGAATAGCACAGCTAGCTAGCTTCCTGGCTAGCACGTACCAGAACACTTTTAGTGTTGCGGAACATTCCGCCAATATATTCCACATTTTTTAACAAAGTATTCTGTACGACCTTTAAAGAGATACTTACTCTGTGGGTTTTGGCAAGGGCTCGACCCACAGTGCTCCCCACTCGGCATACGGACGCAGCCATTTCTTCGTACGGTTACAGAAGGCAGTCTCGGCTGTTCGGTTGGTGCTAGATTGGATCTGTCGAAGGGACGACGCCGTGATTGGTTCTTACAGTGTGATGCAGGCGCCAGCACCTCTGCTATTATTGGTTTAGACTTCGTTAGCCGAAGGAAAGCAGCCAATCACAACACAATAGAGTTCCCCGCTGATCCAATCTAGTACAACCTAGGCGCGCTCATGTGTCTTCTTCGCGTGGACTTCCCTTACAGTACCGTTGAGCTGTGCATGATCGCCGCCACCTGTTCACTGTCGTTACTGACAGCTTCTCCATTCTGTTTACGGTATCTTCTGTTTGAGGAATTCATTAGCGAGTCTCAATGTCAGCGATATTAAATAATACTAAGCCTCATTAGCTTTTTGCATTTTACTCCATCTCTGTTAGAAAGAGATTTCCGGTGAGAGTGTAGTGATCTCCGTTTTTCACAAAAGCAATCCCAGTTCTTTCAGTCTATCTCCTCCTGATCGCTGTTGGTATATTTTAACCCCTCATACTTCTTTTCTGACCTTTTCATGATTATTTTGGGCTTTCTATATATAAAACTGTAATTAATGCAAAATCACCACTAAAATGAAATCGTTTATCTAGTTTCCACAATGTTATCTTATTAGATGTTACACATCTCTTCTGTTGTCAGACATTGTTGAGTTACCATCATAGGGTGAGAGAAAGAAGACGAGGAGGTGGCAGAAACCCACAGTTGGTGTTTTTGAGCTACATCCTTTAATGGTAGCTTAGGAAGAGACTTTACTTTTTCTGCTGAGGGACTCTTGTCTTTGATGGGGAACGGTGTTTTGGCACTGCACAGCTGGAGGACTTCAGGGGAGGAAGCGAGTAGGGGCATTTAACTCTGAATCCCTCAACACGTACTGTTGTACACATACTGAGGAACTTTCACAGCTGCCTAAAGATGAAAAATGACATCTGAAGTACTCCATCATTGTCTCCATTTAAATATACATAAAGCATAACGAAGGGAAAGCTGTTCCTGACCTTTTTATATATGAGCTGGAAGTCTCCTGTGTTTGCTGTGCGCTTAACTCTCCGATCCAGAACAACTCGTAAAGTGTCCTCCTGCACTGCAGCACAGAGATGGGCTGTCACAGGGGTTGATGGAGCCATGGTGGGACTAGAATTGATTTCTAACAACCACGGATGCAAGTCACGATCTGAAAAATGAACATGTTATAACATGTTAGCTGTTGATAATTATTCTGTTCTTATAACAGTAAAAATATTTAAATGTTATTTAAATGAAATGAATGCAGAGAGTGTAATGTGAAATACAGTGTGTCATGTATGGCGGGCCCATTGTACCTAGCATGAAATCAGCACCATAGAGCTCAAATGTGTTTTTGCGTGACTCTATCAGATCCTGTGCTGTCTGTAACGCATAGATGAGAGCTCTCTTCATTCATGGGACGACTACAGTATCCCACTGAGCTTCCCGGTCCTTGGTGCACAGAAATGTCTTGAACTGGTCAACCGACCACATATTGTCTACTGGAATGCTTCCGTGCCGCTGTAGCAAGGGCCTCAAGCTCTTCTGAATGGAGTTATTACACAAGTGCATGGAGCTTAAAAAATAAAAGACAAAATTGTTATTGGACAGAGGTAGAGTTTGTTAGGCTAGGATATAGAAGAGTGTTACAGGAGACACAAACTCAGGACATGCTTGTATATCAGCAGGTCATTTTGACTATGTCTACATGTCTAAGTACACTGAGTTGCTGCCATGTGATTGACTGATTGCATATTTGCATTAATGAGAAGTCAAACAAGTGGACCTAACAAATTGGCCGGTAAATATAGTTAACCAAATCCCACATGAGTTGCAACCTAGTTGGAACTATTTGAAGTTTGCAACAGCTTAATCCCTCCTGACAAAACTCATATAATTTCTTCATATATTTCTAATACACAAATTCCGAGGATTCCCACATTTCCTCCCCCTCAGCTCAATGGAAGCACTTACAGACTGTGCACTGTGGCTTTCTATTTGTTTGAAGTATGCGGAGGCAGATGTTAGAATTTGACTATACCCAGAGGAGAAAGTTAACAACTATTCAAATGATGCACAGATGGAAAATCAAATTTCCCGCCAAAAATGGCATGCAAAATAATGTTGCCCCTGTGCGGCCTTTCACTTCCTGTTTTTCTATTTTAATGTCAAACTGGTTTCATGTCTTCCCCTTCCTCTCATTTTCACCTCTTATGTTATTCATCTGACCTGTCCATTGAATCTAGCGTGTAAAGGCTGTGTGGAAAAGCGTAAGTAGCACTTTTTGTAGAACCACACGGTCAGAGGATTCCAGTCGGTGACCAGAAACCACTGGCGCACATCAAACTTGGTGTCATGGATAAGGAAGGGGCGCTCCAGGTACTTCTGTACCACCCATTTGTTTTCCTTGATAAGTTTTGGATCACCCTTCACCAGGTCGAGGATCTGGTCAAGACGATTAGCACATTTGATCCCTAGAAAGAAAGTAAAACAGATCAACCATGACTTTGTCAGACAATCTGGGAAAGGCCTGATTGTGCGTGGCCTTTCACCTCTGCCTCTGGACTTTGCTCCAGGTTTGATGATCCAGATGTTATGGATGCCTTCTATCTCCAGCTGGGGATTGACTATCTTCATCCTCTGCAGCATAGCCTTGCAGTGGATCACTAAATAATCACTGCTATCAATCTCTGCTCCACCACTGAGCAAGGAAGCACACAACAGAGTTGTACTTGACTGAGAAGAGCATGTTGGTCTGCTAAAGCCTCTGGATAATTCTCTAACACGCACATGGTGATGCATACTCACTGCACAACTAGATAGTAACTGTCTAAAAACTCTGCCCACTCCTGTGCGGGTGTTTGCTGTGTTTCCAAGTTAGTGTCTATGTCACTGTGCTCCAGACTCTGCAGAAAGTCCTCGCAAACTTTGAGTGCCTTGTTGATCGTTTGGGAAATATTCACTGGGCTAGACTGCCGTTTGCTTTGTTTCTTCTTACCTGAAGGAAAGAACGAAAAACACAGATCGCTCTCTCTTTTTTTCTTTGAACAGAGTAATATACACTTATGTGAGAAAAGGTCATACCCTTAACAGCTTGTATGGTGTGACTTATTCTCTCTCCCTGAACATATTGGTCCTTCTCCACAATGTACTTCAGAAGACTGGTGCACGCAGTCCTCCTGTAGTCATCTGCACAGAGATCAGAGATGTCATGGTGTGCGGGGCAAGCCGTGTGGTGTTGTGAGAAAAGGACCCAAGATGCAGGCACTGGCTGAGATGCGAGTGAGCTTTATTTACAGAAGGTGAAAGCAAACAAAAGCGAGGACAGAACTAAGACATAACCTAAACTGGGGCAACTAATAAACAAACCTGAAACGATAACATGCAGGGAGAAACATGGGATGAGAAGCAGAGAGAGATGCAGAGAACACCAACTAACGGACGGACCGGCAACCAGCAAAGGCAACCCCACACTATAAATATACACACAGAGGAACACAAAATGGCAAACCGAAGGGAGGCACAGCTGATCCTAATTAACAAGACAAGACACAGACCTTCAAAGTAAAACTGGAACCATCGAAAGAACTGCAGACACCGACTCAGGGACATGAAAGAGAGCATAGAGAGAGCACACCGACACATAACCAGACACACAAGGAGGCATGGGAAGAAAACCTCTCAGCTAGAATATATAATCAATAATAATAATGATAATATTAATAAACACAAAACGGTGGGTCACCGACCCAGCACCATGACAAGAGATGAGTAAAGCAGAAATAAAAACTGAAAAAATAAAAAAAACATTACAAAGAGGTACAGTACAAGAGGTCAAGCTTGAAAAGACATAAAAGGAGATCTAACCAATGAAGGCATGCCTCTCATCTAGTGCTGCTAGTCTGTAACAGCGGGGGAAGAATGTGTCTGGGTCAGCCGAATCAAACCAATGTAGTTTCCTCAGATTCAAACACAAGCCTGTCTGTAACGGGAAAGAGAAGTAATGATGGGGGGCACAGAGTTGGATCCTAAGGCTGTCTGAAATAACAACTGCAAATAAATGTACCTTGGTGGTCAAGTTGCCTGCCTTTGAAAAATGATTAGTTATCTGTTCCTTATGCAGGTTTTTTGTGTTGATGGCCTTTCTGCGGTTTGTCCAGTAGAAGTAAACCATTTCATTCCACACCAGGCGAGACTACAGAAATGAGCAGAGGAAAGAGATGAGATCTGAATCTGGGATTGGCTGTAATTTTAATCAGTTTAACCAAGGTTAACAATGTATACTTCCTCAACATGAAAAGCTGGTCTTACCATGACATTGTGAAGTCTGTCAGCATCTTTTTCTTTTTCAGCATCATTTGAGTTGTCTGAAAAGAAGAACCAAATGTTGATAAAATGATGGTGTGTGCAGAGATACCCACGATTAGTCTTCTGAGTCAGCCACGCTTCTAGCTCACCATCATCTCTATCACTACACACAGCATAATTCGAGTCGGTTCTGTTCCTACTGCTCTGATGGCGACGCACTCGGCGCTTAGAGTAGACCATACACCGCTCAACCCAGCCTCTAGCCCTCAGCCCTTCCCTGATAACAGGATACCTGCCCTGGATCGAGAACACCTTATGCATCTGAGAGGACAGAGAGCAGACAAACAAACAGTGGCTTCGCAATCCTGAAAACACATGAACGCTTTGAACACATTCAGGAGTGCAGGATTACCTTGACAGCTTTGTCTACGACAACCCTGGCTTCTCTCAGTCTATCCAGGTCAAGAGCAGGCAGGCTGACAAAATTGCGGCAGACCTCAGGATGGGTAGCTGGCATGCACAACCATATAAACAATCACATTCCAGTCATTGAAAAGAATATATTGACTGCATTTATTGGCTGGACAATAATCCTAATATAAGATAACCTTTATTAGTCCCAGAGGTGGGGAATTACTATTGTTACAGCAGCAGAGTCGACCGGAGGGCTAAATAGATGCACCACAACCTAAAAACAATAACACTATGCAAAATATGTAACATAAAATATATATGAATAAATGTTTTAAAAAATTACAACACTAAGAGCCAATTTAGAATCTCCAGCTGACCTAATGGTTGCCTGAGGAAGTTGGAGAACCCATGCAGACACAGGGAGAACATGTACCTTACATGTAGAAATCCCCCCAGGACCTTCACACCAACGTGCTGCTCATATTGCTCAGTTATGTAAACATGTACTTCTTTTTCTTTGTTTTTATTTTAGCCTAGGTTTTACCATATCAAGATATTTGTTTGGGCACATTGCATTTTACTGAGCTACATGCCATTTACTTATTTAAGCTATTTGTTAATTTTTTGTTTTAAATCTTCATTTTAACTGATGTAGCATTGATTTTCCCAACTTTGGGAAAATGATTCACTAAGCTGATTTCTGAGATGCAGAGTGAATCTACTTGTTTGCAGGTTGCTTTTGGCTTCCTCTTGGTCGTCTTTCTGTATCCCAGCATTCTCCATCTCCAACAAGCCTCTGATTCCCCCGTGTAACACAAAGAGTATCCCATGCAACTATCATATCAACTATTAAACTATCATGCAAGCTGGGGGAGGGGAGGGTGGGGTGGGGGGGACCCCAATGCATAAAGGACACTAAACACAAGTGTTGTTGGCACATGATAGGTACAGCATAACAAAGACTAGGGTAGTAATACCAGAGGCTAAAGGCTTAGTATCTTAAGTGAAGACCAAGGAACAAGCTCATGAAACTTTAATGCATAGTTTTGGCATTCAAACACTTAGCCACCTGTCCTGAGTGTGACCTCATGATTAATTCTGCATTTGTGATCTACAAGCCATGTCTGTGAAGAAAGAGGCCAAGTTGTCTTGAGGTGTGAAAACATACTGTTCATGTTTCAGTTCAACAATAATGGCTTCCTCTGAAAGAATTTCCTCTATTAAAGTTATAATCTGTACATTTAACAATAAAATGGGGTAATAAAATTTAAATAAATGTAAGGATTACTGGCACAAAACCTGGGAATCAACTGGGGAGCATTAGTTGATATTGATGGAGCCAGAAAGAAAATACAACCCAGTGATTTCCAGTTGCATTTGCCTGCTCCTTGGAAAGTTCAGACAGAGGCAGCATTTGCTTTTATAGTTTTGTATCTCTCACCGCTCTCTGGGCACGGAGCACAGTGTCCAGCTGTGGTCTGGTGTCCCTCTTGGTCCATGTGGACAGACCGATGAGACTCCATACTGACATCAGCTCTCATTCCTCAGGAGGATCATTGTGCTCTGCTTCATAGTTACACACAAAACGGGGACACGGTTTAATGCAGGGGTGGGCAATTAATTTGATACACCTGATACACCTGTCAGGTTTGTGTCTAATGCCCCTGCAGGGTGTGATATGTCCTTCAGTTACCTTTTGAACGGAAGGCCAGAAGTGGAGCCATAGATTTACACATATCAGTCTAGACACTAACAAGATTGTCTTGTCATTGCAGCGTAGCTAACCACAGTAAACTCACAAGCTGCTCCAATAAAACATGTCACCATCGTGTTTCTCCTCTCACCTGCTGAGACCCACAGGTGTCAGGAGCGCATGCTGAACCTGAACCGTTACCTGTTTACTGTTGCCTTGGCAACTCGTGGAAAGCCGCTAACATTTCCGTCTTTATCTATTTGCGATGTGAGCAATATTTAGGCGTTAACATTAGCTACTCCGCTTGGTTAGTGTGTTGATGGAAATCGCTTAACATTTTACGTTTATGCCAAATATTATTTTATGGAATGCAATATATGTTTAATTCTTCATTTTCATTCTTTGTTATTATTAATTTTTACATTTTACCTGTTGCACTGTCATAAATATTTTCAGTGGTCTTAATTGCACAGTTGTATTGGTACTTTTTTGGTGGCACAAAGAAGAGCTAGGTACTTATTTATAATTAAACATTGTAGCTATCATATAATATAATATAATATTTGAATAATTATTTTATTATTTTATTTATTTTGGTTGTTCAGTGATGACACGACGAATCCTACTTCCGGGTCTAAAGTAGTCTGCGTTTAATATGGCTTTGTGTTGTTAACATGTTTAATGTTATGTATTTTCTTCTATTTGATCTGAAAAAGCTCCTAAAACAGTCAGTGATCACTGTTGACCTCCCTCGCTTTTATTACCGCTAATCATTTATTTAAGCTCAGTTTTAAAACCTTAGGATGTAACTACAGCCCAGCCCATGCAGCAGTATATGAATGACTAACTTCGTATTGTGGATGGATTATCTCAGTTGTTCTCCTGGCTGAAGTTGGTCCTTTTACAGCATCCTGCCGAGTGGAAAAAAAAGTTAGCTTGTTTATATTATGCTAACATAGCTGTGTCGCTAGCGGTCACGTAGCACATCAACGTCGCTGCTGTTTAGTTTTCTGTCTTCATTTATGCTGGAAGTGATAACAGAGCTGTACGTTTTAATTTGTTTCCAAAACCCCGCAGTCAGGACATGCTATATTGTATTTAGATAGAAGCTAGCGAGCTAACTCCCTGCTAACTTCTAACTCCGTTAAATGTCATAAATTCCGTTTTCATGGATGCCTGGATGTTAAACTCAATTGTTACACCTGGTAGAGCAGATCGCTGATCATTTTATTAAAGATGAAAGACTTTAGACAGTTTTTCAACTCTCAGTAATGCCACAGTGATCGTTTGATATATGGACCTGCAGCGGAGTTTAGACCCAGACACGGCTAGTGACGTCAGACTGAACAACCGGATAAAATATTCTCCGTACGGCCGCCATCTTGGCTCTGGCTAGATGGAAGCAGAGCCGGTGTACGTCACGGCGTGTACATCCGCGCCCCCTTCACGGCTCTTGCCCAGGAAAATACCCGCCCTATATTCAAAAATACACCGAACTCTAAACCTCACCTCGGACACAAACTCAGAGGTTAAGAGTGGCTCAGATACAGTAAGTACAGCTTTTTCATGCACGTCAAATATACCACAACATTGGGAAAGTGGTGGGGCAAGTAGTCCTAAATAGTGTCAGCGGCTCTAGAGCTATGTTTTGGTCGATAAAAAGTCAGGCTAACATGCTAACACGATACCTTTAATGTCGTTCTCAGGTGTTGGAAAAGTTCTGCTTCGTCTCATTTAAAATGTGTGGAAGAACAGCATGCACCCTTGCTCCTGACGAGCTGAAACGAGCCTGCTCTTACAGAAACCGAAGGGGGCAGAGGAGACAGCCCCGCTGGAGGGATGGAGACGCGGACAACTATCGACCCTCCTACAATAAGAACCCGCAGTCCATGAGTCCCGTCCTGCTGTCACAGAGGCATTTTGACAAGGTAATTATAACGTATACAGAAGCTAACATGTCAACTGTTTGTTATAGCTTAACTTATATTGGGGAAGCGCCCGAGGAAGGTGGAAGATGTGACGTTTTTAAGTGAAGTGGGGCTTTTGGTAGAGGACCCCAGGTGAAGTCAGTCACTGTCTAACCTCGTAATAAAACCTTATATATTTTATTACAGTTATAGAACTTAAAAACGTGATGTTAACATTTGCTAATGTATTTCTTGTGTCTGTTGACCGACTATGTATTAAATATTACAGGCTTCAAAAACATATTCTGTCCTTCTGGGTTTTTTTCATTGAATATTGTGTCCGTCTTTTGTCTTCAGGATGCTCCTGTGGATAAGTGTGTGTTGGCCTCAATGCGGTGGGGTCTGGTACCCTCATGGTTTAAGGAGAGTGACC